CCGTCCGCATTCAATCGGATCAAGGAAAAGAATTTACTAATCGAGAATTCTTACAAGCTTTTAAATCCATTCATTTTTTTACCACTCGTAATACGGACACTAAAGCCAGTATCGTGGAACGATTTCAACGTACACTCAAAGCACGCATGTGGCGTTATTTCACTCGTCATAAAACCAGACGGCATTTAGAAGTTTTACCGGATTTAATGTATGCTTACAATCATACCTATCATCGGAGTATTAAAAGAGCACCAGTTCAAGTGAATGCTTCTAATGTGTTAAAAGTCTGGAAAACTTTATATGGGAAATCCAATCGAAAACAGTTTCCTAAACCTCAGTTTAAAGAAGGAGATCAGGTACGCATCAGTAAAGCCAAGCGCACATTTGAAAAAGGATATTTACCTAACTGGACCACAGAACTGTTTACCATTTTTAAAAAAAGTTCCTGGAAGGTATCCTTACGTGTATAGAGTGCAAGATTATAACGGAGAGGAATTAGAAGGGACATTTTACGAAAAAGAATTACAAAAGATCATTAAAAAAGACGACGTGTACGAAGTGGAGGAAATCTTGGGGTATAAAAAGCGACGCGTAGGGAAAAAAATCATTCAAGAAGTCAAAGTTCGGTGGAAAGGATATCCCCCTAGTTTCGATTCATGGATTCCCCAAACGGATCTCATCAAATAACTCCTCATTGGAAATTTTGTGGAGAGAATGTTCCTCGAGAAGAAATCGTTTATTTCGCACAATTATTTATCTGTGTATCTCTCATCGTCACCAGTGTGGTCATGTTAGCTTTACACGATCCTAATCGAGAATATTGGATGGTATGTGTCAGTTCTTCAGTGGGTTATATCATGCCTAGTCCTACGATGATGCATCATACATCTACCCCTAAGAAGACCGCGAATGCACAGGATTAATGTCTAAAAAAAAAAATAGGTACACCACAGAGTATATAAAATGGGGAAACAACAAAGATTTTTTTTTCATTTCTGATCTGACTGAGGACAGAGCAACATGGATTTTTTAAGCTCAGAGTATCGTTGGAAAATGGAAGAGCATACAGGTTCCACTAAAAAAGGAGAATGGATGAAAAACAAAGATGAATGTATCCAAGGTTTCATGGATAAGAATCCGGGAGAAACAGGAGTCAATGATGTGTACCTGTATAAGAGAATCAAATTACCGGACCATGAATGTGGACGACTTATAATAGTATTATTAGGGCCATGACAACCCCAGTATCAGGAATTCAAATGGAAAGTAAAATACGTCTTCGCTCACAAAAGAGAGGGACCAGCAAGGACCTGGATTCAAGGGAAATGGATGGAAGAAGTCCGAGATTGTATCAAAGAGTATGTAAACAAAGTGCTCAAAGAAGGATACGACATCATGGACTATGCTTGTGAAACAGAATATTTGTACATGCGGAGAACTTTTCCTATTCAAAAAGAACTATGCCAAAGTATTCCATGTTTGTTACTTTAATGTTATTATTGTTGTGAATTAAAAATTAAAAAAAACCTAGAAAAAAAATGTCTTTTTTTTTCTCTCTCTCTCTTCAGCTATGTATAACATTTTGTGACAATGACGTCACAATGGGTAGCTTGACTGACTTGAATCTCTGCCAAGATTGTGTATTACCTGTGTATTGACTGACTCAGCAAAACGTAAATAAAACGTACACAGTAGTATCTCAGTAAAAAAAAACTAGGTCAAACACATTTTTGCACACCACCCTATAAATAAGGTATATAAAGCTAAGCTTTGAGTACACTGCGCTCAATCATGTTTTTTGTGTGGAGAATGTTGTATTTGGTTGACGTAGAAAAGTATTACTGTCATTACTGTGATAGGGAGATGATCCATGTGCGTACATTTACGGTGTATGATTATCCAGGATGGCATCACAGAACTTATCAAATTTGCGAGCATTGTGAAATGCCTTTTCCTCACTGGTTTGTGGATGATCCCCCTTCCATGGAGACCTGTGGATGTAACTGGTGTGTGAAATATTTCACATGGAAGTACGGGGCGGAGAATATGGTGCCCCTATGGGTCAAAGTAACCAGGAAGAGAGCCTTAAAGAAATGCCTGACCTGCTGGCAGGAAAATACGGAGGGGAGATGGAAGTATCAACAATGCCGACAGTATCCTTGCTGTGGGGAATGTGTCGAGAACTTCGTCAAGACTTGCTACAGACTTTGTTCATTATGTAGATATTAAGGAAATAAATCATAAAATCAAAAAATGTTGTTGGTTTTTTTTTTCTGAGATACTAAAAATAGATTTGATAAAAAGGTTATATAAAGAGGTATGACAAAAAAAATTATTCATTCTGAAAAAGTCAAGTCTAAAAGTCAGACGCCAAAAAAAAATATGCAGTATCGTTGGTATTGTGAGAGTTTATTTGGATGTATTTACATGCAGGGACCCTGGATGAAAACTAAAATAGGAGCAATCCTGGATTATTTTGAAAATCATCCAGGAACATCTACTCAAGATCTGTGGTTGGAAAAAAGACAGAAATTCTTGCATCCTAAAGGATCTAAGGTGAGGGTAAAAATATACCATCATTATCAGCAGTACAAATGGTTGATCCTAGGTCGTTGTAAATTCCAGACTCGTGTGGTTCTGGCTGAAGGTGAATGGTGCTGGAATATAGAACACTGTCTTCGTGATTTGTTCTGGAACCAGCAAAAAGATGGACTGAGGATTTCTAGCTATTACTGTCCTACAGAGTACCTGTATTGTCGTATTCCTTTTTCCCAGATTAAAGATAGCTTGGAAAACGAAGAGGGCCAGTGTTTTGAGACAGTGATTCCTTACAGATCCGAAGAAGAAGAAGAAGTGTAATAATATGCCAAATAAAAAAATTTAAAAAAACAAAAAAAATTGTTGTTATAAATAGAAGGGTCATAAGTTATTTTGTCTCAGTATCTCACTGAACATGGCCGAGAGCAGTAGTTTTTACATGACTTTACCCAGTGATGGGTCCATGCAATCTTTTCCGAGTAATACGACTGCTCAATTTAAAACCTTATTACCACAAACAGTAGATTTAACAGATGGACAATGGGAAGTGGCTTTAACAGAATTGATGTATCCCATTTCATTGAAAAACATCACAGAAGAGGAAGCTTATTTTGACATCCTGCTTCCTCAGTTTTATGCTCCAAAAGTCCAAGAACCTAATGTTTTTAAATGGGACAGATTTAAAATGAAAACCATAGACGCGATGCCATTATGCGAATGTCCTGTACTGTTAGATTGGGCCCATGCTGAATTTGCTAATCTCATAAAGACAGACCAGAAGATGGAAATTAAGCGAATTCACTTTAGACCGGGGCCTTACATTCATCCCATGGCTTTAACAGGTGAAATCAGTCTTGGACAGGAAAGAAGTTTGAAAAAATTATGGAAGTTTTTGAGTGATTCTAAAAAAGAGAATTCCATGAAATTAATATATCATGACAAATATGATAAAGTGATGTATCAGTTTATCGGGAAAGAACTTAAAAAATAACCCTTTTGCATTCGTTTCCCCACAGCCTTAGCTTATAAGCTAGGAATAGAAAGTAAGAAGGTGATTCTTCAGAACGATACAGAAAACATGACCAAATGAATCAACGTTAGTTACATGGGCAACAATACCGTAGATTTATATGAAAATCTGAAATCCAGGTACGTGTATTGTGACTTAATTGAACCCCAGACGGTAGGATCCAATGCCTTGAAATTATTAAGAGTGGTTCCTTGTACACTCAATCCGGAAGATAAAAAACAAGCTAAATGGGAACCCGTTAGAGCGGAATATTTGAAACTGAGTAAAAAACATTTCGATAGCATTGAGATTCATAGCATGACTCCTTTAGGGACTTCCATGCCTTTTTTAAATGGAAAATCGGTCGTGAAACTTCATTTCAGAAAAGTGTACTGAGATGAGTGTACATCTTTTTTGATACATCCTATTGGGAGTGATGACTTGTCTGATATGCTGTCTGTATTGTATTCAACCCTAAGACAGGGGTATAAAAAGAGTCACTTGAGTGCATTTAGGTCAGTCTGACACGAGTCATGAAACATGCAGTATCATCCCGGATTATTGAGACAAAGAGGACACGGACAGTTTGTCTATCATAGAGGTTTATTACGTCAAAAAGGACACGGTGTAGGTGGAATTATATCTGGATTGGTTGGAGCCCTTCCCTTTGATTCTACCGGACTACCACCCTGGTTTAATCCATTCAATTTAAAGAAATTTAGTAGGTTTGTGGATCAAATTAAATCTCAAAGAGGAGGAAATTTTTTTAGACTTCATGTCGGGACATGTACCGAACTTACCTATAGGGATGACTTTAAAACAAGCTGCCCAATTTGGCTCAGGCCGGCGACAAAGAGGTCGAGGATTTCTTAAAGATCTAGTCAAAATGGGTCGTAATCAAGCCTTGATTGCCGGAGCTAAAATAGGAGCGGCTATGATTTAAAAAAAGAGAAATATCAAAAATGCTCTTTTAACTCATGGACTCAATGCCGTTAAAAATACAGGCTTATTTGCTTTCAATAGAGGAGAAACTTTAGCTTTTAAAAAGATGAATAAGAAAGGTCAAAAAGGTCAAGGGAGAAGAAAAAGAAGAAGACGGCAGAGAGGCAGAGGATTTTTTAGAGATTTACTGAAAAGGGGAGCTAAACATGCCTTGACTGCTGCTGCTAGAACGGGGTTAGATGTGTTAGAAAAAGAGATCTTTAAAAGACGCTGTCAAAACTCACGGAGTACAAGCCCTGAAACAAAGAATGAATCTAGGAGGTAGTAAGAAAAGAAGAAAAAAGACACCTGTGTTAGCCCGAGGAGGTCTTAAGAGAAAAAGAAAAAATCAAGGAGGCAATATTCCCAAGAAGAAAAAAAGGGGTTTAGATATCTTTGATTGACACTATATATAGGGAAGTAGAGTGATATTGACCTTCATTTGTGAAAAATCAATCCTAGTAGACACATCATGTTGCAACCAGATTCCTGTGCGTGTGGGATGAACAATATAGAATTGTTCCAAGTCCCCCCGACTAATATTGCTTTAGAAGACTCCAAATGGGAAGAATATTACCCCATTTCCAGTACTTTAGATTCGGATACGGCTCCTATTGAATTTGAAATTAATGGACAAGGAGATCAATATCTGGATTTATCTCAAACGTATGTTCATATGGTGTGTAAATTTACCAAAGATGATAGTACTAATCTGACTGGAGCTGGCAGTACTTGCGCCCCGGTGAATAATATCTTACATTCCTTGTTTACGGAAATCGATTTCAGTGTCAATGGAAAAATAGTGACTCCTGGAACCGATACTTATCCTTACAAAGCTTATCTGGAGAAATTACTTTCTTACAAACCCAGAACATTAATGACACAGATGAGAGCTTGTAGTCTGTGGGAAAAAGATACAGCAGGAGACATGGATGAAGTAGGGGTAGCAGACCTTGGAGTGGCTCAAAATAAGACATTTGATGTAACCCCAGGTGCACAGGGTGCTGCTGATACTGTGACCATTAACCAACCTATCATCCCAGAGTTACCGGCCAATTCTAAAACGAAGGATTTAGAAAACGTCACCAGGCTATAAATGATAGTAAGAAAATAACCTTGTATGATCGTTTACATCTGGATTTATTTCAACAAGACCGATTTCTACCCAATGGAGTAGATGTCCGTTTGAGATTTAATCGAGCTAAACCTCAGTTCTATATGATGATCAAAGCAGGAAGTACGGGAAAAGTCAAAATATTGAGCATGATCTTGTGGGTAAGAAAAGTCAACCCCACGGCAGTCATGATGAATGGTATTAATCAAGGTTTGAACACTCACAGAGCTAAATATCCTTTGAGAAGAGTCGAAGTGAAAACCTTTACTATACCCATAGGAACTCAATCTAAAATCACGGATCATCTGTTTCAAGGCCAGATGCCTAAACGCATCATTTTAGGCTTTGTGGACAATGCGGCTTTTAACGGAGATAAAACTAAAAATCCGTTTCATTTCCAAAACGTGGGAATTACGAAATTAGATGTCAGTATTAACGGAGAGAACATGAGTACTCATTGTTTCGAACCTAATTTCAATGAAGACTTATATCTGAGATCTTATCTGAGTTTACATCAAGCACTGGGAAAATTAGGAGAAGATTGGGCCCCGGACATCACCCTAGAAGAGTATAAAAACGGATACACTTTATGGGGCTGGGATTTCACTAAAGATCAAGAGGCGCAATCGGATAAATTCCACATCATGGAAACCGGAAATCTGAGAGTAGAAGTCCAATTTACGAACAATACGGTGAACACCTTAAATTGTGTGGTATATGCAGAATTCGATAATCTGTTAGAAATCAACAAACAGAGAGAAGTCAGTATTGATTATTAATGGATACAGGACAATTAAAAGAAGTCTTATCCAGAGAATTAAAAAGTTTTTTTGGTGGTGTGTACCCTTTAGATTTATTACCGGATCAATTAAGACCTCAAGAAAAAGCCATTGTGGTGAATACGGATCCTCAAGATAAACCTGGAGAACATTGGGTATGTTTGTATTTGTCCAGTCCAGTCATCGAATATTTTGATTCTTATGGATTTCCTCCCTTACAAAAAGAAATTCAAGTTTTTATCCATCGTCATGCTCAACAATGGATTTATAATCCGTACCAATATCAAGATTGGAATACAGATGTATGTGGACAATATTGCGTGTATTATTTACATCAAAGATACAAGAAGAGAAAAGCCGCAGATGAGTGGTTATTCCCCTTTGACCATAGTACAGCTTTACAAAGAGATCATTATGTAGCTCAATGGTTTAAAGACACTTATCATAAAAGACCTACGGGTCATGGACAAACTTGTCAATGTTTCTATCAAAATGTATTGTAATTGTTGTTGTTATTGTTATCAATAAAGAAAAAAAAATCTGTTCTTGTTTTTTGGGTTTTTTTTTTTTTAAAAAGGGGGTGATACTAAATATAGATAGAAAAAAGGTATAAATACAAGGTGTAGTATGAAAAATATATCAGTTATTGATTTGTCCTAATCATGGGTAACACGTCCAGTAAAGAAAAGAGTAAAATTCAATTTGGAAAGAGAGTTCTGAGAGAGGAAGATGTGGATAGAGGTATACCAATCCAAATACATGAGGATGGGACTATTGAGATCATTTCTAATGAAAAATATAATCAATTATGTCCAGAAAAGGGTGATCCTAATGATGTGAGAGATTACATTGAAAGACCCTTGACTGCAGAAGAAGAATTATACCCATTTATTACCAAAAAAAAAAGATTACCCTGAAAGACCTTTGACTGCAGAAGAAGCCAAGATGTGTCAAAAAAAAGAAGTATTTTGAGAAAAAAAAGAAAAGATTGACACAGGATTCTAAACCAAGATAAGAATCATTGTAGAATCTGAATAAAAATAATTTAAATATCTTGAATTGTTATCTATATAAAAAGTGTGTGTCACCAAAAAAATCATTTTTTCAAACATGAGTCTGACAGAAGGATTAATCATGGAAATCAGAACTCAATTGTTGAGAGACATTAAAACTCATTATGAGAACAAACATAAAAAAGATCCAGGCAATCATTATATTGCCAAATTTAAAAAGGAGAGATTTAGAAGAGCTGCTAATTGGATATTTAATTTAACTGGGGGCCATCAGGAGGATATAGATCAAATCATTAGAAGTGATTATCAATACTTGATCTTACAAAAAGAAATGCATCCAGAAACAGGAAAACTTCATCATGTGAGAGGATTCATTCAAATGAAGCACTGTACCAATGAGAGAGACATGTACAAAATCATTCATGGGTTAACCTGTTTTGATATGTCTCACAGCACACCAGAATTAGAAAGAACATTTTATAGGCAAGGTGACAACTATGAAGAATATGGAACTTTAAAACCTGAAATGAGAAACAAAGAATTAATTCCAAGAGATTGTAGATTTACTTGAATAAATCCATTAACATTGAGCTTGTGTGTGTGGTTTTTACCTAGACTGTGAATCACTGCCAAGTATGACGTCATAATATAAGGTTTGTGTATTGACTGACTCAGCATAACGTAAACAAAACGTACACAGTAGTGTCTCAATAAAAACGTAGGTAAAACACATTTTTGCACACCACCCCTGAGGGTATAAATACAAGGTGTGAGAATGATCATGATCAGTTGACCCTAACCATGAGTCAAAGTCAGTTTGGAAAAAAAACAGAGACTATGGATATAGATGAGGAGAAAAACAGTCATTAGAAAAAATAGAGACTATGGATATAGATGAGGAAAAAAAACAGTTATTAGAAAAAAGATTGATCATGCATATGGAAGAAGAACATTCCAGTCCTCAAAGAAGAATGGAAGTGAAAACTCTGGAGGATGAAGAACCCTGTAATGTTTACTTGGGAGAAAATGAGGAGATCCATGACCCAAAGAACCCATTCAGAGATTCTCCAGTAGCCATTAACTGGGCATTTGTCATCCATGATGTGAGAGAAGAAGAAGATATAGATATGTTCATGAGCTGTGAAGATGAATTTCAATACCTGATCCTACAAAAAATATTCATCCCTGGACAGGAAAAGTGCATCAAATCAGGGGATTCATTCAAATGAAAAAACCTGTAGGAGGACTGAATGTGGCTAGAATTCACTTGTATGCAGATTTTTGTATGTCTCACAGTACACCAGAATTAGAAAGAATGTTTTACGAGCAAGGTGGCTACTATGAAGAATATGGAATTCTGAAACCTGAGGAGAGAAACAAAGAATTAGAGTCCAGAGATGCATATGGGAAATGGGAAATTGGTGCCTGGAGAGATTATATAGAAAAAAAGAGAGAAATGATTGAGTATCTGGAAAATACAGATTAAAAATTTTTAACAGTTTTGTTATTGTTGTTATTTTTTTTGTTCAGGTTATATATATAAAGGTGTGACATTGGAAAAAAAATTATTCCCAAACATGAGTTTACAGGAGATACCAGGAGATTTATTAAACTTTCCTGTAGAAGCTATTGTACATCAATGTAATTGTTTGACTGTAAAAGCTCATGGATTGAGTCAAAGTATAGCTATGAAATACCCCAGAGCTAATTTATATGCTACCCGCAGACCTTTAGGGTCTAGAAATTTAGCCCTAGAAGAAGATAGAGGAATTCCAGGCACCCTTAAAGTGTTTTCTTTCCAAAAACCCGTAGTCATTTGTCTGTTAGCTCAATGGGATTATGGAGCAGAACATTATAATCGCCTACCTTATTATCAAGATACACCAGAAAATAGAGAAAAATGGTTTCAAGCTTGTTAACAAGAATTGGGAACTTTACCTTACCAGACTTATGCCTTTCCTTATAAAATAGGATGTGGTTTAGCAGGAGGAAATTGGACTCATTATAGACAATATATTGAACAATTTGTAAAGACTTATCAAAAACAAGTGTACATTCTTCATAAACATTGATTGTGTGTTATAAATATTGACTGTGTTATAAAAAAAATTAAAAAAAAAAAATGTTTTTATGTTATTTCATTTTTAAAAAAAAAAAAAAGATTAATCTTTTTAAAATTTAAAAAAAAAAACAGTGACCTGGTGTTTATAGGTTTCTATAACCTTGATGTTTTTAAAAAGGTATCTATTAAAATCATTAAAGTGGCCCTTAAAAGGGTTGATTTTTTTTTATCAAGGGTTTACTCCCTGAGAGGCCTGCCTCTACCTCTGCCTCTGCCGCGGAACTCTGTTCTGCCTGAGAGGGGAGGTCGCTGGTTACCGGTCAACGGCTCCAGAAAGTCCGGCCTTCCGGGTGGGGGTAGAGATGACTGTCTTGGAGGAGGTCGTCTCAATCCTCGCCTGCGAGGTGCTCTATATGCAACACGCCTGGTCCTACAGAGTGGGCAAGATTGGTGCATCTGTACCAGCACAGCTGAACACTCAAGACAAGCCGGTCGACGGCGACACTGGCAGCAAATGTAGTTGGACATAACATCCTCCTGTAAGCAAACTGCACAGGAATCCAGCCTGGCTGCTGCTACTTGAATCCCCCAAAATGGAATTGACCCCGTAGTACTCACACCTGGTGACACATCCGGGGTCGGGGGTGGTGGTGGTGCCAGCTCCGGGGAGGGTGGTGGTGGTCTTGCCAGCTCCGGGGAGGGTGCCCAGTCATCGTTGACGGGAGGGGACCAATCCGAATCAACGGATGACGAATCCCCCTGTCCAGCCCAATCGTTGTTAACGGGAGGGGTCCAATCCGAATCTACGGAGGAATCCCACTGTCCAGCAGCTGCTCCCGGGGGATGACTGGGTGACCAGGTAGGAGTAGGTGGTCTTCTTGGAGGGGACGGGCTTCTCGGGGTGTCCTGGAGTAGTTCCGGACTACTCAGAGGGGCCGAATAGGAAGTTGGTGGTGGTGGTGAATCTGTCCTCCTCCTTCTCCTTGGCTGGTCATCTTCATCACTGGTAGACGGCGATCTTCTTCTATGGCGCCTTCGTCGTCTTCTCCCCCTCATCAGATCACTGGCTAGGCCCAGGGTAGCTATCGGCCAGCGAGCTAACTCCCTGCCGGTGGCTACGTCTCTGACGATCCAGACATTTACAATCTCTACCCCTGGAATAAGATAATAGTTGGCGATATCATCTTCATCCATAGCAGCCATACTGATACGGTATCAGCAAAACTGATACTAACAGAATGACACTGAGCTCTGGCAAGCTGCCGTATTTATGCGCACAGAGCGAGCGTAAAAGAGAGCACCCTAAAGCGAGAGCCAAAAAAATCATGGCGACGTCAAATTGTGTTATTTTGTGCTTCACAATCCATACATTGGAGTGAATAACTTATTATGGGATTAGAAATACATGGTAACATCTTAGCCATAAGATGAAGGTAAGTTTCAGGCATGATTTCACAGTATTTTTGATGCATGACATTTATCTGTCGTCTAGAAAAGAAGCATTGATGTTGAACCGAAGGGCTAAAATCGGGTCACCTGAATACATAAAATAAGTATTTTAAGCCTTTTTAGAGTGTGATACTAGGAAAACTTAATCTATACTATGAGATTAAACCTAGGGAAAAGTGTTGATGCTGTTTTTAAATCAAATGAATGGTTTGAAGTGTAAAAATATAGTCAGAGTTGGTTTAGGTATAGACACAAGAAGGCGAAGGTCGGCCATTTTTTTTTTTTTTTTTTTTAGAAAATCACTGTATAGACTTGTATAGAGAATATAGGATTTTTTTTAAATCGTGACCTTTTCTGACTGGAATTTTTAAATAAATAAAATCAGTTTAGTTGAAAAACAATTTGAATCCACTTTATTTCCAGTGGGAATGTCTAGATGTTTTATAAATAACAATATTGATAAAACACAGCGTCTTATTACAAGACACAGCATTCTATACACATAGGCATGATTTTTTTTTTAGGAATCCTGAAAGATTTTGAGAAAGAATAGAATCGGATTAGTTTAAAATCAATTTCTATCTACTTTAATTGAAATGGGAATAGATTTTTTTCTTACTAAGCAAAAAAATAAAATCTCAGCGTCTAAAAAAGGGCACAAGATGGCGTCATATTTGTATAGAAATAATAACAAAGACTTACTGTGTGTTCAATCTTGTTTTTATTTTTTCTTTAATAATTGTTCAAACTGTCGAATTCTCCCCTGAAATCGTAATCGATCTGCTACTATAGCCATCCATGGACTTTTTCGATCTTCGGGTAGTAAATGATAAATTTTATTGAGGCTGGTAACAAAAGTTACACACTTGTGCCTTTTAGCATTTCTGAAATTTCCACATATTTCATCCCGTATTGGATGCATATTTTCTCTACCGCTTCTATTTCCTTCCAGAGTAGAAATACTTTGCTCCCTTCGGGATGACATAGGAAACTGTAAGGTTTTCCTAAATATTCGCTCATTTTCATCCCGTACATTTTTTCTGGTAGAGTCTTTTTGATCCGTTGACAAAGGAAATGTATAATCGCTAGTCTCCCCACTGTGGGACGTTGTAATAAAGCCAGGCATTGTAACCACAAGTCCTGAGTGTTTTCTATGATGGTCGTCGCTCTCTGGAACACTGGTTCCGCCTCCGGGGGTAGAGCTTCTTGATTTTTCTCTATACATCGCATTAAAAAATCATACCCTTCCAACACCAAAGAGTGAGTGTGATTATGTGTTGACATGATAGTCAATTGTGAAGAAATGACAAGAAATGTTTTCTTATTTATACCCCTGTTCTCCGTTGGAAAAAACCAAAAACATGTATCTATACAAGACGTACACAGTACGTACACCCATAATGTTCTGACTCAGCAAAACGTAGGTAAAATGAGAGAGGGTACTAAGCGCGAGGGTACAAAACGTAAGTCAAACCTATTTTTGCACACGAAATCCAAAAGGGTATATAAACCAGAGCTGGAAATTTAGGACCATTCTTAGTGGGCAGTTCGAACTTGACAGACGTAGAAATATGGCACAGGCGATGATGAATTCCGTGGAAAATCGTAATTATATTCCAGCTAGCAATGAAGGATTGGGATATGCTCTACCGACAATGCCTGACACGCAGGATCCGATCGGATTTGATCTGGGACTTTATAAAATGCCAGAACCCATGACAAAGGAAGATATGGGCATCTTAACCACGACTCTGGATGGCTTTGTCAACATGCTGACTCAACTGAAAGAGTACAACACCAGTGAATTTTGTTTGATACGTGGGAAATTGTCCCGATTAGAAGTTAGAATGGAAGAGAAAATGAGAGGAAACTCCTACCAGAAAAAATGAAGACACAGGAGCTGCCAAGAAAAGTAAACAGACAGACCCATGTTTCGTATGTAAAGAGTTAGGACATTGGGCCCCGGATTGTCTCAGAAAAAAACAGAACTTATGCTACAAGTGTGGAAATTTTGGACATTGGGCCCATCAGTGTACAGATGACAGTATGGATTTTGTCAAAGAAGTAGAAAAACTGGAGAAAAAGGCTCAAGAAAACAAGACCACCCATCAGGAACATAAGACCACTCCCCAGGATAAAATTCAGGCTAACAACAAGAGGAAACTTCCTGCTAATACTACCCAGACGGAGAAGAAACAGCCCCTGAAACTCCAGAAGAAAAAGTAAAAATTATGTACATTTTTTTTACTTTGAATAAATCATCTTACAAACTTTTTCTGTGTTATTGTTTTTTCCGTTTTCAGAAAATAGAGAGAGAGAAACTGGCTGTATGACGTCACAATGCAATGCATGATTTGAATCGATGCCAAGTTTTTGTGTGTATTGCCTATGTATTACTGACTCAGCGATTTTACACACAAACGTAGATCAAACGTACCCCCCTTTTGCACCCGACTTTCCTCATGGGTTTTTCCAGGGTGTGTGTGTTGAACCACCCATCTCCTACAGGGAACAAAAAAGTGCACTCAGTTGACCCGCCTAGCCAGGCTGCTTATACTACTTACCTGCCGTATTTCTCCAGAAAAAATGTTCAAAGACAATAAAGGACAAATGAACAGAAATTACTGTTGTCTACTTACACTGGGAAAATACATGCAAATAATCTTTCTAATTACTTTATCTTGGTCTAATATAATGTTAAGAATACAATAATCTACCTCAAATCGTGTCATTTACTGTAGATTTCCACATATTCCTTTGCTCATCAAAGAGCAGATCACTCTAACTACATAAAACTACCATAGATTTAGAACTCTTCAGTGAGCATTGTTTAGAGCTTCCTTAAATACCACGAGCATGAAGCGTTATCTCTAAATATAGACATGGCCACGTAGATGACTATTTATACGGCGGATATGTACAGCTTCATTTCACATTTTACGTTTATTTCATGCATAGTTTTTCCTAACATAGACTGGCGACCTGTTAGTAAACTTTTTTTTCACATCTATGGTCACTGTCGCCATATTGCACGAGAAAAGTTAGAACGATAAAAAGCACAATTAATGGCAAGTGCACCTCGCACATCAATTTGAAAGATGTACTGTAGATAGCGTGCGTTAATATTTTTCAGTATATAAAAATGTGTCCAATAATTACGCTATTGATGCAATATTCAAGAAATTCCATTGAGTCATTTCAAGTTAGTTCTTTCAAGTCAAATCTGAGCCACTAATTAACAGAATAATAGCGAAACGAAATAAGTATGAAAAAAATAAATTATTTAAAATAATAGTACTTTATCTTTTAAGACATCGCCACTAAATAATAACATTAAATGTATGTCTTATTAGTTTTAGATCACAATATAAAGGAAAACAATTTATTTCTGCATGCATTTAAAAAAATTTACCCATTACTTTCTTACATCCTCTCCCTCTCCTTTTCTTAAGAGAGATGTCGCATTGTACTTCCGTTATATAAGAATAAAAATATGTAAATACCAGCCATTACAGGATTACAACCCATTCTCAGGTAAGAGAATCTTCGCATAGAGTCCACACGCTGTACCACTAGACCAGCTCCGACACTGAATTAAATTATCAGGTGCTATTTTATGGGAGCATTTTTCATTTCGGATGGATAATAATTTTTATTCGATTTTTTGTGAATTTCAAAAATATGCCTCTTTGAAACAAAAATCGGAAATGGCAGTTTTGAAGAAAAATCATGTCTCTTTATGCGTATATCAAATTCATTCTGTTTCAAGGAGGCAATTTTTCAGAACAGTGGGGATTCCCTATTTGAAAAACAGAAAACGAGACTTATTTTGCTACGTGACTACTAATTTACACTTCATTTAATGGCAAATTGGAAGTCAATATGCAGTTCCTAAATATTGTTCTACATTGTGCTGTGTTTACCGTTGTATCTGAAAAAAAATTCAGACCGTTTTCTGATACTTAAATTTTTTCTTTTAAATTGCTACAACTTTAGGGAAAATAACAAAAGAACTGCAACACCCTTTTTCAGAGATAGTTACCAACTCTAAATGTGCAATTTAGGTTTATGCACAGCAAAATGAAATGGCTGAAAAGGATTCCAGGAACTAAATTGTAATACTAAAAATCATCCAATTAAATTGCTTTGTTATGTTTAATTATTATTAAAATCAATTAAAATTGTGTTTTACTAGAGACTTTAACGTTTAAATAACAGCAACAAGTAAAGGAACTGGATTATAACTGTGAAAAACATATTTCTGCTTGCTGTACTAGATTCAAATGATTTCCTTATCTGTCGCTGATATATATTTTAATTACACTCTATAATCTTGATCAATCTTTTCAAAAAATTGAATTTTTCCTGTGATCTCAATTTTTCTTCATAATGGCTCTTGGCATATTAACATATAAGTAAAACTCTGGAACTTGTTACAGGAAGAGTATTTCACAATTTAATAAATCTTACTTTAGGTGATTCATAATCTGGTACCTGTATGTGATAAAAAAAACTTCAGGTAGCTTCATAATAAAGTGCTGCATAGAAGTATGTACATTATAATCTGGTACCTGTTAAAGGTAGGTAGCTCTGAAATCTGGTACCTGTTAGAGGTAGGTATCTTTGAAATCTGGTACCTGTTAGAGGTAGGTAACTTAGAAATCTGGTACCTGTTAGAGGTAGGTAGCTTTGAAATCTGGTACCTGTTAGAGGTAGGTAGCTTTAAAATCTGGTACCTGTTAGAGGTAGGTAAC